GCAGCCATTTGGGGAGTAAACATCCAGGCCATACCCAGATCTTTTGCTGTCTCTCCTTCTTTATATGTAACTCTGCTTTTCAAACAAAAAACATAAGTCTAAAAAAAAGTGTGTGTGGTGGAGGAGGATACGAGGCAAGTCTACTATTTATTGAGCATCTACTATGTGCTGGGTGGCAGGCTGAGCCCCACCACTGCCCTCAGGATGCTTATTGTCTGTCTCCCAGGGAAAACAGAGCAGAAACTTGCAGAGTTCATTTTATCTTCAAAAAGAATATATATAAATAAAGCTTTACGAAAACATTAGGTCTGATACAACTTGGGAGATTTTAAATCTATCATTTCAGAATTATTGGGCTACTCCTGAAATTAAACTGCTAGATAAAGTCCAATCTGTATAAAACATCAAGTTCCTACTGCAAGCTGGTTGATACTCTAGATTTTACATGCAGCAACCCCATTTAAGCTTCACGTCATTATGAGCTGTTGCTCTCCGCCTATAGATGAGCAAACTGAAGCGAGTACCCAGAATCAAAACTGACTCCAAGTCCCTCTGTCCGCACTGACCTACGTGAGTGCTAGAGATGAAAGGAGGAGGATTTTCTCCAACAGTGAGTGGGGTACACATGGGACACTGCCTTGACTATTGCATAAATAGGGGCATTGTAGTGTGGTAGGCTAGGCTACCACTTAGGATGCCCCACATCCAGTACTGCAGGGTAGCACTGAGTCCTGGCAACTTTGCTTCTTATCCTGCTCCAGTGCTGTCACTCAGGTGGGAGACCTGAATGGAGTTTTTGAGCCTTGTTTTGCAGACTTTTGGGGAGTGAACCAGAGGATGAAGGATCTCTCTTACTCTTTCAAGTGGATGAAAAATAAACATTTAAAATCTATACTATAAAAAAATAAATACAATGTCATAAATACCCTAATGGAGAAGTTAATTGGTTTCATTACTTTTCTAATCCCCTTCATAACATCTAGAGGAAATTCAGTTCTATGTTGTACAAGGACACTTCAGAAAGTTTATGAAAAATAGAATTAAAATACAACATTACTTTGGCATAAAAAGGTTGAAACCCATGCATATCAGAGTTGTCTAAAAGTTCAAGGAAAAAGTTTATTATCTAAAAATTGCAAGATATTAAAAATTTTAAGCATCAAAAAAATTGAATATGTTTTGAGTTTCCACAAACTCTGAAGAACTCATGATGCCTGTGATACTGAGTTTAATCACAGACAATACTTAACAAAACATAAAGCTTACATCATTCAATTTGTAATTTTTTAAGATTTTTTTTTATTGGAAAGTCAGTATACAGAGAGGAGGAGAGAAAGAGAGGAAGATCATCCACCTGATGATTCACTCCCCAAGTGGCCACAACAGCTGGAGCTGTGCCCATTCAAAGCCAAGAGCCAGGAGCTTCTTCCAGGTCTCCACATGGCTGCAGGGTCCCAAGGCTTTGGGCTGTCTTCTGCTGCTTTCCCAGGGCACAAGCAGGGAGCTGGATGGGAAGCAGGGTCTTCAGGATTAGAACCGCTGCCCATATAGGATCGTGGCATGTGCAAGGCAAGGACTTTCGCCGCAATGCTACCGCTCCAGGCCCCAATTTGTAATTATTTTTAAAGCTATGGCAAATGTTTTTCACTTCAGTAGTTACATACCTTTTAATTTTCAAAATAAATGCATTCAGAGATTTTAAAAAGTGAGCCTTGTAGCGTAAGTACGTTTCCATGAGTTGGCACTGGAGCACAGTAGGCTAGCTGCCATTTGCAATACTGGCATCCCCAGTGGGTGTTGGTTAGAGTCCTGACTGCCACACTTCTGACCCAGTTCCTTGCTACGAAGGAAGTGGAAGATGAAAGATGACCCATATGCTCATGGGAGACCTGGATAAAACTTTTGGCTCTCTGCTTTGCCCTGGTCCACACTGGCTGTTGTGGCATGTGCAGAGTAGATCAGCAGATGGAAGAACTTTCTCTTCCTCCCCATCTGTTGCTGCTTTTCAGATACATCAATCTTAAAGAAAAATATATCTGGACTTCAAGGGTCCAGATCTAGGTTCCAAATGAAAATCCTCCTGATACACTGTCTAGGTACAGGTCTCCTGAACTTTTATCACATAATTACTTCAACAAATACACGGTTTTCATTTTTTTTCAAAACAGGAACAATTTTCACTGTTCTCATTTTCCCTGCTCATCAGGCACCTTTTGATTAAACAGACAAAAACTATAGCAACAAAATACTTCTTTAAACCGTCATACAGTTTTCTTCTTGCTGAAATGGTGTCATATTGAAGACGTATTTTAAGATGTTTATTTGGGGCTATGGAGTTCTTTGTGGAAATCTAACATAAGAACCCAGACCTGGAACTCGCTGGAGGGAGTGGCACAGTTGGCTGCAAGCAAAGAGCTATGTACCAACTGCAATAAGTGAAATCAAACTATAGACCTGTGGGTGACACAATTTAGAAACCTGCACCAAGGAGAAGACTCTGCTAACCAGAAGTACAATGACCAAGAGCAAAAGAAGAGACAGAGGCACAAGGAATATTACTGAAAACTCCCCTGCAAAGGAGCAAACCCTATGCTAACCTCAGAGTTCGCTGAGGAAGACACTGAGAAAATGGGGGACACAGAATTCAGAAAACTCATTTTAAAGCTTCTGATAAACAATGAGAAGCACATACAAGAGTTCAAAGAATTTAAGGAATATTTTACGCAAGCAATAGCAGCAATAAAGCAAATCAAGACTGATATATCAGAAATTAAGAACACAGTAGAGCAAATTAAAAGTACAGTGGAGAGTCTCCAAAATAGAATGAAGCAAGCAGAAGAATCTCAGAATTGGAAGATATTTCCTGTCATCAGGGGGAAGCAAACAAAAAGCTGGAAGCAGAGCTGCATGAGGCCAAAAAAAGTATTCAAGAACTAAAAGACAATATTAAGAGGCCTAATAGAAGAATTATGAGAGTTGAGCCCAACGCCTTGGCCTAGCAGCTAAAGTCCTCGCTTTGAACACGCCAGGATCCCATATGGGTGCCCGTTCTAATCCCGATGGCCCCACTTCCCATCCAGCTCCCTGCTTGTGGCCTGGGAAAGCAGTGGAGGACGGCCCAAAGCTTTGGGACCCTGCACCCATGTGGGAGACCTGGAGGAAGTTCCTTGCTCCTGGCTCCAGATTGGCACAGGACTGGACATTGCGCTCACTTGGGGAGTGAATCATCGGAGAGAAGATCTTCCTCTCTATTTCTCCTCTTCTCTGTATATCTGGCTTTGTAATAAAAGTAAGTAAATTTCTATTTTTCTATTGTTGATTTTGTATCATGACTTTTCATTTAAGGGGATGTATAGTAGCTGTGAAATGGAGACTAACATCCAGATGTGAGGATGCAGTGTGGTATGCATTTCTGCTTCCAATTACAATGAAATTGTTTACTATATCTTGACAATAGGATGCTGGACTCTCTGCCATTGTCCATGCCCGCAATGATGGACATATGACTGTGTACGAAGAACCACACTTTAGCAATGATACAGAGGAACTAGGTGGGGTGGGGGAGGGAATTGGGACTGGGATAAGGGAAATACCAGGAGCCTATGGAACTGTATCATAAAATGATAATAATAATTATTATTAAATTAAATTAAATTTTAAAAAAAGGAGACAAGATCTTCCACCCATTGATTCATTCCCCAAGTGGCCACAATGGCTGGAGTGGAGCCGATCCAAATCCAGGAGCTAGGAGCTTCTTCATGGTTTCCCACACGGGTGCAGGGCTCCCTGAGTCTCTGCTCAGTTCCGTTTTACACTCCCCGCTTTTGCGGCTCCCTGAGTCTCTCCTCAGTTCCGTTTTACACTCCCCGCTTCTGCGGCTCCCTGGGCTCTTATCCCCAGCTACGGCTTACCTGTAGTTACACTTACCTATCCGAGTCACAGGCACCAGATGTAGGGGTCCCTTGGCCAGCAAGTCAAACCCAGACACTCGTTGTCTTTGTGGAACCTTTATTGTAGAGATGACACAGCAAAACCAGTGCGCAGCGGCTGCACAGCGGCCGCCATGCAGCCGCCACATCGCAAGGCGCGCAGCAGCTACATCTTGGTGAGGCGCTCTCTCCTGCTCTCTCTCCCCGAGGCGCGCTCCCCCCCCCCCAGGCGCGCTCTCTCTCCCTCTCTCCGAGGTGCACTCTCTCTCTCTCTTTCTCTCCGGTTCTCTGGCTCCCTTATATATTGGGTAACCTGGCCAATCAACGTAAAGGTCACCTGTGCACGCAGTGGGCAGGCCGATCCTCACACAGATCACGCGCTGTCCACGCGCCATCCACGCACCCCTGGGCCAATCACAGCAGACTTCCTGTGACTTGTTTTTTCTACCACAGCAGGAAGCAGCAGTTCGGCGCCTGTCTGTCTAGGGTGTGGGCTGCAGGCTCTCTACAGCTCCCCACACAGATGCTCCAATTCCCATTCCGTTCCCTTTTCATGGCTTGGGAAAACAGTAGATGATGACACCAAGCCTTGGGACCCTCACCCACGTGGGAGATCCAGAAGCTCCTGGCTCCTGGCTTCAGATAAGTTGCAGCCACTTGGGGAAGGAAACAGTGGATGGAGGATCTCTCTGTACCTCCTTCTCCCTGTAAATCTTTCCAACGAAAACAAATAAATCCTTAAAAGAAAATTATGCATGGAAAAATTCTACAGCAAAATAAGCATCTTTAAAATTTGCTTTTCTATAAACTCTCTGAAGTATTATCACACAACCTCACACTTACTTGAACTATTAACTTTCAGCTTTGCCAGTGTTCACAGAGCTATCTCCTTTCACTGTTGGGGAAAAGTATTCCATTTTTCAGGTCAAGCCTAACATAGGTTGTAAATTATACAACCTGTCTTTAGATAGTATTCAATCACACATAACAAGCATTTGGATATCTATAGGTTACCTATAGAACCGTAACTGAATTCACAGAAACAGATTAAACCAGAAGTAAATGCCAATATCCACAAAATGGCTTTATTTTTTCACTGACAACATGCACAACACTGCAACTGTATAATTTTATTCAGTTTCTTAAACATTACTTAAGTATGCATTAAAAATATATGTTTACATTTAAGAAATGTGACGCATTAATGAAGTCTTCTGCAAACATAATCCCTCAATATATTTTCCTAACTATTTCATAAATAGTTTAATATACAGTCATAAATAAAATGATAATTTTTAAAGCCTAGAAATACATACAAATTCTCAAGTAGGACAAGTGGTCTCTGATGCTTTCTGTTATCTGCAGTGTTAATTATCTGAATGATTTGTCACAAGTTCTTATTGTCTCCCCAACTTTTCTGTCAATGACAGATTATATCCAGTGTAAGATAATAAGCATTTAAAAAGTCAAAATGACCAAAAGCATAAATTAAAAAAAGAAAAAGTTATTATTCAAATATTAACCCTTTGAAATTCATCAGCTCATCTGTAAAACAGAAAATGCAAATAAAGGATGAATGCTTTTATTATCATCTAGATGGTATGTAACAAAATATAAAATTTGGGAAATAATAAAATCAAATTCAATTTTTACTAGTCTTGCAAAAAAAAAAAAAATTTCCATTCCGATTCTGTTACATGGAAAGAATCAACACACTGAAAAATTTTCTAAAATTTACCACTGCGTCACAATTTTGGTTGTAACTTTAAGGGTAAACATAATCACATAAAATGACTTTAGAATGTAGTATTTGTAACTCCTGATGCAGAACATTTAATTTTTGCTTCAATACTAGAAACCCTTAATCTTCAGAAAATATATCTGTTCACATACCACCCATCTAGTGATTAAGTAACCACTCAAGACTTAGTGGAAAGTAAACATTCCAAATACTTTTATATGATAAAAGCAAAAATGAATTGTGCATATGAACTGTTTTACTCTTTACATTTCCTTAGGTGTTAATTTATAGAATAACTCCAGTTTTATGGGTAAAAAAATTGAAAGAGAAACACCCCTAACTAAAATTCTTATTAAATGACTCAAACTATAATACTAAGCTAAGTACTGTCAGCATTTTGTAAATCTGTTTCTAAAAATTTTACTTTTCAACTAATATAAAAAATGGCCTTTTCGCTCTATCACTGGCCAAAACCTGTTTGAAAAAGTAAGTATTCATTGGTAAAGAGCACACATTACAAGAAATGTTTTCTATGCTTTTCACAAAACAACATTCTGATATACATAACGAATCTAAATGAAAATTCAAATGGTGGCTGAAATCCTGTCAACTTTCAGCCCAATCCGACATAAATCCACAGCTATTACACATAAACAATTCAAATTAAAGTTTATAATGGAAATGTCAACGAGTCACAGCGTCAGTACTGATGGCTTCCCCTGCACTCAAGCAGGCGCCGCACATGTGCACATCTGACGCACAGACTGCTCAGAAAATTAAAGCCATCAGAGTTATAAACAAGGAATACGCAAATATGAACACTGCAATGCCAAAGCATTGTGATAGTTCAAAAAAAAGTGAATGAGATAAGATGCAAACATATCTGATGGTTCTTTCTGTGAGTCACTTTTCACTGATTTATAAAGCTATGGTTTTTTATTCTTTAAAAGAACATTTTCCTACGCTGCTGCATGCAGTAATTTCACCGTTCACTCTTGACTACGATGCAACCTTCAAATCCTCTCGCAGAGCTTGACACACGTCATCAGGATTTCTCCAGAAAGTCAGCTAGTCATATTATCAGCAGTCTAGAACAAGAAAGGAAAAGTTCATTAAAACTGTAGAAAAGGAGACATCAAGGAGATAACAGCGTACTGTCATCAACAACCATTCCTAAAACAATCCCGTAATTCATATGCCTGAAAACAATCTCACAATTTGGGGGGACCATTTTTTTTTCTTTTCTTTTTTGGAAAGGAAGAGAAAGACACAGAAAGAGAAACTCATGCCACTGAAGAGAGCGAGCTCCCCCCCCCCCCCCCCCCCCCCCCCCCCCCCCGTGCTGTGGCCTACTGGCTACGCCTTGAACACGCCACGATCCCATATGGGTACTAGTTCTAATCCCCACAGCCCTGCTTCCCATCCAGCTCGCTGCTCATGGCCTGGGAAAGCAGTCGAGCACGGCCCAAAGCCTTGGGACCCTGCACCCATGTGAGAGTCCCAAAAAAGGCTCCTGGTTCCTGGCTTTGGTTTAGCTCAGCTCAAGCTGTTGCAGTCACCTGGGGCATGAATCAGTAGATGGAAGCTCGTCCTCTTTGTAAATCTGACTTTCCACCCCCTACAAAAATCTTAAAAAAGGAAAATAATTGGGCCTCATGTGGTAACCTAGTGGCTAAAGTCCTCGCCTTGAAAGTGCCGGGATCCCATATGGGCAGCAGTTCTAATCCTGGAAGCCCCCTTTCCCATCCAGACAGCTCCCTGCTTGTGGCCTGGGAAAGCAGTGGGGGACGGCCCAAAGCCTTGGGACCCTGCACCAATGGGGGAGACCTGGAAGAGGCTCTGGGCTCCTGCCTTTGGATCAGCACAGCTCTGGCCATCATAGCTACTTGGGGTGTGAATTATCGGCTGCAAGATCTTCCTCTCTGTATATCCGACTTTACAATAAAAATAAATTTTTTTAAAGGAAAATAACTTACTGTAGTTCCATTTTCTTAGGAATAAAAGAAATCACTGTGTTGGAACAGTTTCCACAGACTTTCCTGAAGCCGCAGTTAAGTCAACGTACACGGGGAAAGCAGAAAGATGTGCAAGGCTGAGGGACAGGGCCGGACTCCTGTTTCAACCTTGGCAGCTGAGAGGTGATGGCTTCTCTGGACAGGAAAACAGGCAGCCCTTCTGGATCAAGGCAGCAGAAAGCTGTTTCTCTGGGCTGAGCTTCTCCTTTCCCTGTTCTTACATATACTCAGCTGCTTCCTGCCCACAGCCACCTGTAATCTTATATAAGCTGGCAGTGTCTGTGTTAAGACAGCTGAGTCTCTTACACATTCCTCACCCAGCCTCCAGCTACTTCCACATTGTAAGTACTTTGTCATGGTAGCACCCCACTTCCCAGTACTAAGACTGGTGCCAGATACCAGGGCCCCCACCATAAAATACCATAAACTGCATGGCTTAAAATTTAACCAAAAAAAAAAAAAGCTTTTTTCTTAAAAAAGCTTTTTATTGGAAAGGCGGATTTACAGGAAGAAACATCTTCTGTCCACTGATTCACTCCCCACGTGGCTGCAATGGCCAGAGCAGAGTCCATCAGCAGCCAGGAGCTTTTTCGGGTCTCCCACGCAGGTGCAGGGTCCCCAGGCTTTGGACCATCCTCTATTGCTTTCCCAGGCCACAAACAGGGAGCTGGAAGGGAAGTGTAGCAGCCAGTATACAAACCGGCACCCAAATGGGATCCCAGTGCATGCAAAGTGAGGACTTTAGCCATTAGGCTACTGCACTGGGCCCAAAACAAACTATTCTTTAACAGTTCTGGAGGTTAAAATTCTAGATAGGCTGGAATTTTTTGAGCTGGTTCTTTTTGTCTTTTAGTAGTTCTTCCCTCATTTCTTATTTTTCTCACATGCCCTAGCTGCAGGCCACTGCCCAGGCTGCACTGTAGCTAGGCATATGTTACACTGCTGGAAGGACAGCAGCCAGCCACTGGCAGGCATTCTGGGCCTGGTTAATACCAAATTTGTGTTAACTATGCCAGTGTACCAGTATAGTTGCTAGTTTTTTCTTTTTCTTCTTTTTTTTTTTAAAGTTATGTGGGGAAGGCAGGGAATGCTGGGCCTGGCTGAGCTACACCACCCTAGCCCTTAGGCATGGGTGGGGGTGGGGCTGCGGATTACCCAGGGAGGGGGATGTGGGCACAAGCTGGAGGGGGGCAGCTGAGGGCATGATTGCTGGGGAGGAATGACTTCTGTGGGATTCTACGGACCAGGCCACAGCACCTGCAGGTAGGTGAGGGAGCTGAGATGGAGTGGTTTAGAGGGTGGAAAATGGAGGACACATCTGAGTCAAGCCAAGGCACCCGCACATGTGGGAGACCTGGGCTGGGCCACGTAGCATCACCCAAGGTCCACTGGCATACATAAAAGTTGGGGCTCGGGGCATGCCTGGCTGGGTTAGGCTGCAATGCCAACCTGTGAGCAATGGAGCAGGGATTAGGCCTCAACAGGCTAGGCCACAGCACCCACCAGAATGCAAGAGAACCGAATCTGGAGGCAGATTCTGTAGGGGACTTGTGGGCTTGCCTCTGTGGTATTGCAGCACCCACAAATCTACATGGAGAGCTGGGGGCAGTGGTGGGCTGAGCCAGGATGGACCACAGAACTCAACTGACACCTGGAAGCTGGGGCTGGGAGGAGACTGGGTTGGGCAGGTCGTAACACCCACTGGCACAAGCAAAGGCCAGGACTGAAGGCAGACCATGCCAAGCAGGGCCACAGCACCTGCTGGCACATGTGAGATCTGGGGCTGGGAACAGGCGTGGTAGGGGCACTTGGGGAACTCCTCTGCTAGGGCACAGCTCCCACTGGGGAGCACAATAACCAGGGGTGGGTAGGAGCGGAGGGGGAGGGAGGGAAGGTGGCCAAGTCAGGCTAGGTTACAGTTACAGCATACACTACATGAGCAAGAGCCAAAAAGGGTGCCATCCAGGATGGGTTGGAACTTAACACCCACCAGTTCACATGAGGGCTAGGGCCGTGCCAGGCTGCTGTACCAGCTGGCATGCACAGGAACCAGCACTTGGAACTGGTCTGGTAGGGAAATTTCAGAGACAACCCTTCTGGGCCACTGCTTCCACTGGTAAGCTTGAGCACTGGGACTGGGGTGGCCGGGGGGCGGGCTATAGAAACTGTTGGCCAGCATGTGGCTGGGTCTGAGTATAGGGTTAGATGGGCTATGATACTGAACCCACTGGACTAAGAGAAAGCCAGAATGGGTGCAGCTCCAACTAGCAAGTGCTAGGACTGAGTGTAAGCCATGTCAGGCCGGACTGCAGTGTGGGCAATTGCTGCCGGGTCTCTACCTGCTATCTGGTGCACATGGCTTAGAGCTTACCTGACCTGGCCTGAGGCACAGCTTCCATGCAGAAAATGACCTCTGACATGACTAGAAGGTCAAAGGGAATAGGCGTGCCTTTTACCAATCACAATACTGGTGTGGTGGGAAGGGTAAGAGAGACTGCCTGAATACACCCTCCTACCCTTTCCTCCTTTAACCTTTAAAATCCGGAATTTGTGCTGAAGAAACAGACATTCCTCACCAGCTTGTCTCTGGTGGTTCTTCAAGTTGAAGAACAATATCTCCTTGCCTTCAGTGACCTCAGGGTCTGCTGGCAGTTTTAAACCCTGAGATCACAATACCCACTGGCAGGCACCAGATCCAGTGCTGGGAGCAGGCCTGGTAGGGGAATGGTGGGCACTCCTCTGCTAGGCTGTAGCTCCTGCTGGTGAGCATTAGAGCCAGGGCTGGGGGCAGGCTGGCCTATGCCATAGCAGTCATGCATGCGCATGAGAGCAAAATGGAATAAGGGATGGGCAAGGCTGCAGCACATGCTGGCACATGCAAAAACCAGGGGGTGGAGAGGTGGGCCTAGGGGAGGTTACTGGGGACTGACTCAACCAGGCCACTGCAGCCACTGGTGTGCATGAGGACCAGGCCCGTGGAGGTCTGGGCTGGGCTAGGCCACAGTACCCATCAGTTCACATTAGACATGGTGATGCAGGTGAAACTGACCAGGCAGCTGCATCCACCAACATCTGTGTTGGCTGGTGCAGTGACGAACCAAATTTGATCCTGGCACATGAGTCACCTCGGAGGTCACCCTAGGCGAAGTTTGTTGGGGGACTCTCCAACTAGATTGCTGCACTCAGGGCCCGGCTACAGAGAAAATCACAGTATATGTTATACAACCTTGGGGTGCATGTCTTGGGACTGGGCCTCCTCAGTTGCTGATGCCTGTGCAGTGGACAGCATGCCAAGATGCCCACAGGAGACGTGACAGCCAGCTCATCTAGGCTAGCAGAAGACATCCACTGTCTCGTTGGAAGATGGAAAACAGAACACGTTACACCTCTCTCCTGTCTAAGCTTTGCAACATGTTCTTGGGTCCGTTGACGAACCTCTCTTGGCTTGGTCACCCAACAGATCTTGGAAAGATTTTCTCAACACTACTGCAACAAAGCTGACACCACCTCGGAATCGTCAGAGCCACTTCTGATAATCCTCCCAACATCAGGGTCTCTAAGGTGTCATCAAATGCTGTCCCTGGGTGCTGATGTAATGTGACAGCAAGGAGCAGTTGTTCTCTCCACCTTCCTCCGTGCCTCAACACTCCTGACAGACACTACATGGGCCTGCATCCCTTTCAGCTGTGCAAACGAATATTAAAAAGAAAACAAACAAAAAAAAGAAGTACAAATAAAGAAACAACAAGGAGAAAACTGACTGTAACTTCCACACTTCTGCTTAGAAATTTCCCCAGTTAAATATTTAAGCTTTCTCCTTCTTTTTGAGCATTCACCAGAATTGCCTTTAGCAACCACAGGTCCTCCAACCTCCTGGGCAGTCTTAACTTTTCCATCAAGTACCTGAAAGACTTTCCAGCCTATGCGTTACCCGATTCCAAAGCTGTTTCCACATTTTCAAGTATTTCTATTTCGGTATCTTACTTCTCAGGACTAAAACTGGTATGATACTTAGAAGAATGCCATACAAGAATACCATAGAGTGGGTACACATTCTTCGACACTTCTGGAAGCCAGCAATCCAGTCAAGGTAGCAGTCAGACCCTCCTCTGAAGGCTCTAAGGGCAGATCCTCCTTCCCTCTTCCTAGTTTCTGATGGCTGCCAACAATCCTCACTTTTCTCCTATGTGGCACGCCTCACCGCTAAACTCCGCCCCCACTGTCACACGGCCTTCAACTTTGTCTCATTCTGGGTCCGATCTTCCCACTTGCAAGGACATCCAATTATTGGATCAGATCTACTGGAATACAGTATACCTCATCCTAATTTGATCGTATCTGCAGACATCAGGCCTAAATAAGGTTATTCTCAGAACAAGAATATATCTTTTTAAAGAGCAGACACAACTACTTAATACTCAGGAAAAATCCAAACACAGTTAAGGTCTTTGGGAAAGTTAACAGGAACCATGACAGTAGTCATTGTTGTGATTTGAACATAAACTACTAAGCTCGATTTTTACAACGTACCCTGATGGAGCTGACAGCTATTCTAACACTCTTCAACTAAGACTTTCCATACAACTGTCAACTATTTTCTAACCCAAACAGCTTTGTTTAGAAGTTAAGTAAGAAGTATCTGACCTTCAGTGCCTCAGTGGCCTTGCGAAGCTCCTTAATAACCGATGACAGAGCTTCTGGGTTAATCCCTTGCTCACAAAGTCGCACACATATAGACAGGGTTTCCATATCTAAGCCAGTATTCAAAATCCTTGAAATCTCAAGCAGAACTGAAAAACAATCAGGAAAGTTAAAATTAAAAATACGAATTTGAAACATTTAAAATTTCTACGTGGTAATTTTTAAAACTCGTGTATGACTGTGTAATACCGAGCATTTCGCACAGGATCCAGGGAGTTGGGAATCAGCAGGCAATACTGTCTTCCCTCACTTGTTGCACAGTCTATTTTACAGAAGTTTCTTAGCTACTCTGCTGTGGGGAGCTGTGCAGTTGGGTCGGATGGCATGGGTGTATGATGAGCTCAGTTAGCAAGTTAGCAAGGCTGCGAGGAGTTTCTGGCTGCGAGGCAAGGCCCGGCAGAATGTCTCTGGTCACCTCATTGCTGCCTCACCTCATTGTATGGAACTCAATCACCTCTCTGATGTTTCATAGAATTCTTCTGAGGGTACTGTTGTTGTTTTTCTGCTAATGTGAAGTGATTCCTGTAACTGGTATGACACCTCAAATTGATCAATCATGTTATGATAAAGACACCTTTAGTAATGGTAAGGCTATGACACACAGCTAAAAGTATACAATAGTACAACTGAGCCCACTATGTTTCCAAACATCCTGTTATGTGCCCACTTTTGTCCTGAAGTTTGTCCTAGTATAAGTAATGTTTTCCTTAAGAAATGGCTTTATAATATCCTGGAATAGATGGCAATCATGGAGGTACAAAAAATTTGTTTACCATACACCTCGAACTGTTACAACATATGATATGAAGCATTTTAGTTTCTTACCACAAGAAAGCAAAAATATATGGGGCATCTTCTACAAGGAAACAAAACAAAACCCCCTGAAAATGGCTTAAAATCTCAATCTTATACTGGCACTTACATTTAGGGAAAGAAACAGTTTATAAAAATTTCTATCTTATATTGGCATTTGTATTTAAGGAAAGAAAACAGTTTATATAGATGAAAGAAAGTTTCTTGTAAAGGCCCTCTGTTTGTAGATTGGCTGAGCTGCCTTGATCCCTTTCACTGCCCTTTAACAAAAGAATGAAAAACAATTGAATCAGCACTAAGTGAAGGTGACCGTAATTAATGCATGATTTGATTATAAGATTTAGCAAAGAATCTATGCCAACCGTGGAGTTCCTGGCTTCAGCCAGGTGATTGCAGGTTTCAATGAGTAATGGTTTGTTAAAAATGTTTTCTTTGAAATAGAAAAATATTTTTTAGGATTGCTTCTTGCACTTTCATAACCATGATGTAATGAAAAATGAAACAATTGGATGTTGTGCGAAAGCTTGTGATGATTTATGTATAAATAAAGAAGGCAACTTTTCTGAGTTGTCCATTGTGATCATCAAGCCCTAGTGGTCCGCGTCTTATCTCTTCCTGTCATCTCGCCGATCCACGCATCCTTTGCAAGCTCTCAGTCAGCTGGAGCTGGTCTCTGGCACTCTAATTTAGGATTTAAGGTGCTTATGTTTCCATCATAAAATAATATTATCATTAAGTACCTGTGCAATTTATTTCATTAAGATGTATGATTGGAAGAACTGCCAAGTCACTAAGAGTGTGTAGCAACCTTTATAACAACTTCACAAAGTAACCATACTTGGTAAATCTAATAATAAATATGAAAGCTAACATTTCCCACCTTCAGTCTTACAGCATCGTACGTTATTGTGGCTTACTAAACTCTGGCACAAGAAGCACTAGCATAGAGAAACTAGAAGTACAAAGTGATTTTTGTAACAATCGTAATGTTTAGAATTTGATGCTTTCTACTGTCACACCAGACAGTCACACTCATTTTCATCTCCAAGAGTTCAATTAGTCTTTAAAATGTATTTTTCATCTAGGTTGCCACTACATGTTTTAAACATGTGGAATACAGTTCCAATGTTTTTAATGTTTTTGTCCAATTCTATCATGGTTATCTTTATACCTGTCTTAACTGACTTTTTCCTTTATTATCAGAAGTCATTTCTTAAACTGCTTTGCATATCTAGTAAGCTCAAATTAGATGCTAAAGATGTTCACTTTATTTGGTTTGGTGCGAGACATTTTTTGTGTTCCTCCTTTTAAAAGATTTGTGTATTTTAACAACAGAATGGGGCTATGGGGAAGAAAGATATTGGTTAGATAAGTCTTCCAGTTGTGGGGCAGAAATCTAGGTACTTGGGCCACAAAAAGATCTGCTGCCCAAACAGCAGGAAGAAGCTGGGTGGAAGCACCAAGCAGCCAGCACCTGAACCAGTCACTCCAATATGGACTGCAGGCCCCAAGCTGCCACTGATTCCGCTGAGCTAAACACCTGTTCCAGATGTTTTGTAGTTCTGTATTCTTACGGTTTGCGAAAAGGTGTGGTATCTGTAAAGAGTTTAATCCTTTTGGGTCTTACTTTTCAGATTTGCTACACAGAACCAGAGCCCTGTTTGATGCAAGGTAAAGTGCTCCCCACTACGGAGGAAAGCTCTGTATTCTACAAATATCTTGTTAATTATGGAATTTTTCCTTTTTTAAAAAAAGGATTTATTTATCTTGATAAGAAAGGCAGATTTTACAGAGAAAAAAAGGAGAGACACACACACAGAGAAATCTACTTGCTAATTTACCATCCAAATGACAGCAACAGCCAGAGCTGAACTGGCCCAAAGCTAGGAACCAGGAGCTTCTTCTGGGTCTCCCACATGGGTGCACAGGCACAAGGACTCGAGCCACCCTTCGCTGCTTTCCCAGGCTATTAGCAGGGAGCTGGATTGGTAGTGTAGCAGCCAGGGCTTGAATGGTACCTTTGTGAGCTGCTGGCACTGCAGGCAGAGTGTTAACTGCTAAGCCACCATGCTGGCCCCAAATGATGGCATTCAGTCACTCTGCCTGGTTGCTATTAGCTCTCATCTTTGTATGAGCATGGTGTACTATTCCTTCTAATCCTTGTGGAAGGTTTTTATCTAGCTTTCTGGGTACTTCTCTCATACGCCTGCTAACCCACACTCTGCTGAATGCTGTTGAGAGAGCTCCAAAATTCTACGAGGCTCCTCCCTCCTGTACACTGCCTGCCCTGGTCCCCCAGCCTGGGAAGCTGTTTGTGCACACTGCGCATTGCCATCTGTGTTGTCCTTGGCATCCCATGCTGCACCATGGCTTGAGAACGCAGAAGGCAGCGAGTGCGAATGACCACACAGCTCGCTTCATTTCCAGTCTCCAGGATGGCTGCCCTTTGATGCCTGACTACTGCTGTCTTGAAAACCAGTTCTATATGTTTTACCTGGATTTAACTGGTTGCTTCAAGTTGAAAAGTAACCTTTATCCCTGCTAATCTGGCTCCTCTGACTATCCCCCGCCCCCTTAACCACTTGTTCTTGTTTATAAATAAACAACCATTTGTTATCCCTGTTTTTGAGATATTATTCAAGCTCCCTGCTAATACGCCAGTGAAAGAGGCAGAGGGCATCTCAAGGATTTGGGCCCCTGCCACTCATATGAGAGGTCAAGAGGGGGTGCTCAGCTTCTGGCTTTTAATGGATCTGGTCCAGTTGTGGCCATTTAAAAAAGCAGACTTCTCTCTCTGCCTTTCAAATAAATAAGTAAGTAAGTAAATAAATAAATCTTTAACTTTTTTGTTTAGTACTTGTGGAAGCTATAGGGGGTTTGGCACTATAGCTAACTGGCTAACCCTCCACATGCAAGTGCAGACAATGCCATATGGGCATCAGTTTATGTCCCAGCTGCCCCACTTCCCATCCAGCTCCCTGCTTGTGGTGTGGGTAAGCAGTCGAGAATGGCCCAAAACCTTGGGACCCTACACCAGTGTGGGAGACCTGGAAGAGGCTACAGGCTCCTGACTTATGATCAGCTCAGCTCCGACTGTGGCGGTCACTTGGGGAGTGAAGCAAAGAATGGAAGATCTTTCCCTGCCTCTCCTTCCTACAAATCTGCCTTTCCAATGAAAACAAAACATAATGTTTTTTAAAAAATTTTAAATTGAGAAGTACATAAAGATGAAATCAACATTTTAGAGACTCTGGTTGAATATACAATGGGATTTAGAAGAGCAGAGCACGAGTGGCAAGGAAATCCAGTTGTGACAGGAGGGACTGAGACAGTCAAATCCAAGAATGGAAAAGCCTTAGTGAACAGGGGCTGTTGGTTTGTCTGGCTGACAGACCTTTGCAGGGGTAATCAAATGGAATGAATACATTCTCTCTAGGCTGTAACTCTTAAACTTACTGCCTGGTTTATAAAGCGGTACTACACTGCAGCTTTCGGGATACAACTGCAGCCAACACAGATTAGACCTTAGGCCCCAGTCTCCCCCGGCCTGCTCAAAACACACAGACTTACAAGATACAAGATAATGCTCATTATGCATCAATTTCCACAAACATAAATCCATCTACGAAATTAATATGCTAGGAGACATCAACAAGGACCCACGTGTAGGCTTTACCGCCGCTGGCCTCGGGGTGCAAAACAGGCCAGGACTAACCTACGGGGGATCCTAACACAGGGTCCACTGGAATCCGGGGTCGCCAAGGAAGTCATCCGCAGCGTCCCGCGGGCACTGGACGCGTGCGGGCACCGGCCGGGGCGCGGGGCAGCGGGGGCGGGTGGCGTCCGGCGCGCGCGCGCGGGCAACGGGCAGGCGTGCGGGGGGCCTGAGGGACCACCCTCCGGGGATGCGCCCATCAGCCCGGAGGCCCCGGCGACGCCCTCCCTCAGACCCTCGGAGATGCCCCTCCAGGCAGGACGGCCACCGCAAGTCCTCCCTGGGCTCGCCACGCCGCCGGGGTGGGGAGGCCTCGGAGACCACGTCCGGCACCGCCATGGGGGGGCACTCACCGTCCATGGTCTCTCTCACCGCGTTCAGATTGGCCGCCGCGGCCGCCCCCGCCGCCCCGGCGCCGCTGCCGCTCGCCATGGCGGAGGCCCAGGGAGGCGGCAGAGCGGCTTGACCCGGAACTGGAGCGCCTGTCTTTCTTTTTCCCGGGCCACCACACGCCGCGCGCCCGCCCCACGCCCCACGCCCCGCTCACGCCGGGCAGGCTCCGCCCCCCGCGCGCTCGTCGCCGGCGTGTGCGGCTGCGTTGGTTTGAATTTGGAGCCTCGTTGTTCTGCGCGGAACGTGGAGCGAGGAGTTGCCGTTCGAATTTACCTCGCGGCCTCCGCGCCATTGGCTGGTTCGCGGACAGCGGCGCGACGCCATTGGCCGGCCGGCCCGGGACCCCGTGCTCTGGTTGGCCTGCGGCAGCGCGGAAGCGGGGAGTTAAAGAGTCGGCCTCTCGTGGGAGCCGGCCGCGGCCCGCCTGGCTGCGCCCTGGGGTGCATGTCGGCAGCTGCGGTTCCCTGCCAGGCTGTAGGTACGTTCCTGGCCGTTCCCGGCCTTTTCCTTCTCTCCACTGGAGAGCTCGCTTTGGGGCAGTCCGGGGGTGAGGGTGAGCTGCGAGGTGGGGACTGGGGCTGCTGCGCGCAGGAGTGATCGCTCCGGCCCGGGGCGGTGTGACACGTCCTCCGCTCCTCACCGAGTCGGCCGGCTGCATCCTGCACGCTTCCAGCAGCTGGACTCGGATGCGTCTCTGGGGACGACCCCGTGAACGGGTACGGTCTCGGGCAGCGGCTTGGCGGCCGGAGGGCCATGCTTGCGGGGAGGCTATCCGAGGTCCCCGGCCACCCGGCAGGTCCTGCTTAGCCGGCGAGGGTCGCTTGTTGGCGCAGCAAACTTGTGCAGGTCTGCTACACAAGCAGTGTTTCCTAGTGACCGGGTGATTGCCGGAGTACCGGGAGCTTGTCCTGCGTTGAACAGCTTGGAAGACGTGCCCGAGACAGCAGAGTTTATCGGTTCCTTGCCTCCAAGGCAGACCTGAATGCATTCTTAGTTGATTGACTACTACTTGAAAGCCTGTTATCTGCTCCGAGTTAATGATATAATGATAGCTGCTGTCCCGGCTCTCAGGCTCATCGGGAGGATCACCTGAGGAATTGTCAATTCAGGGTAGGGCTTGAGGAAATGCTGCCGGTTGCTGTTCAGCACAGACTGTCACAGTGCCTATGGAAGTGTGGAGTTTTCATAGGTGTGCTGCTGATTTCCTTTGTTTTAGCTTTCCCTGCGTGCTATGGGAGAAGTCAAAGAATTAAAGATGCAAATATCGCCAGAAACTCCTGGGAGAATCCGTGTCCTAAATCCTTTTGAAAGTCCTAGTGACTATTCTAATCTCCACGAGCAAACGTTGGCCAGTCCATCTGTTTTTAAATCAGCAAAATTACCAGTAAGTTTTCCTCGGCTAGTGTTTATGATGAGTTTTCAGTGTAAATAACTACAAATAACTTTCAATGGAAGTATCTTTATCAGGTAAAGGTGGGGGGACTAGATCCTGGAGTATATATCGCCGTGTGCTTTTCGTTATTGTTGGTTAAGCGACTTGGAGAGAAATCCCATGTAATAATGTTCACTCCCCAAACGCCTGAGCCGGCCAGGGCAGGGTGGGCTGCGTGGATGCCAGAAGTCAGGAACGCAGACCGGGCATCCCACGGGGGTGGCAGAGCCCAGTCCCTCGGACCAGCACTGCTGCCTCCAGGGCGTGCACTGTCAGAAACCTGGAGTCTGGGCCTGAGCCGGGCATCAAACCCAGCACTCTAGTCTGTCACAGGGGTGCTTAATGATGGGCTAAATATTTGCTCCTGAGCATGTAGAGAGTTCACTGTATTACAGTGATAACTAAAATCCAGTAATTGGCCAGGCATTCCATTAGCAGAACTTTTTTTTAGAACTTTTTAAAGTTATTATTTACCTCGCCCCCCCCCCCTTTTTTGTCTTAACTCAAAAAAAGATAATATGTGTCCTGGCACAATAGCCTAGTGTCTAAATCCTTGCCTTGCAATTAGCAAGATCCCATATGGACACACCAGTTAATGTCTTAGCTGCTCCACTTCCCATCCAGCTGCCAGCTTGTGGCCTGGGAAAATAGTGGAAGATGGCCCAAAGTCTTGGGACCCTGTGCCTGTGTGGGGAACCCAGAAGATTCCTGGCCATTGGGACCACTTGGGGAGTGAACCAGAGGTTGGAAGATCTTTTCTCGCTGTCTCTCCTTCTCTCTGTAAATCTGCCTTTCCAATAAAAATAAATTTTAAAAAATGTTAGGTTTCACAGTTTCAGGTGTAGCTATGTACCACGGATCTTGATGTAACTACTAATACCACATTAAAGAAGAAACCGTCCTTCTCATTTCTTCAGCAAACGTTGGAGTGCTGCTATGGTATCGAAACAGCGCTCTCTAACCGGCTGTGCCGCAATGCAGAGAGCAAGAGAGATCTTTCAGCCTTTGGTTAAATTCCTCAAATGCCCACAACAGCTGGCCCAGGGCCAGACTAAGCCAAGTGCTGGAACTCAGTCCTGGCCTCTGAGGAATCTAACTCCGTCCCAGGATGTGCGTCAGCAGGAAGCCACAAGGGGGCAGACCTGAGATTCAGGACCTGCTGAGTAGACTAGATGCAGGCTTCCCAAGGCCTGTCTTCATGGCTGCGCCAAATGCCCCTTACTGATGCTGTCTATTACTGTCATTTTCCAGGAATTTTTGAAACTTCACTTGTATTACTTCTTTTTTTTTGTTTGTTTTACTTTTTACTTGACTTGTATTAATTCTTAGCTATCTGTTAGTTCTAATAAACGTTAATTCTGGGGCTGGCATTGTGGAGTGGCAGATAAGCCCTCCACCTGTGACGTCAGTTTCCCAGCTCATGTCATAGTTGCTCTGCTTCTGGTCTGGCCCGTAATGCGCCTGAGAAAAGCAACGAAACATGTCTCCTGCAGCCACGTGGGAGACTTGGAGGAAGCTCGTGGCTCCTGGCTTCAGCTTGGACTAGCTGCTCTCTGGAGAGGACCAGTAGATAGACGATCTCGTGTCCCTTTCCCTCTGTAACTGTCTTTCAAATAAATAAATAAATAAACAAATTTTTTTATTATTTATTTATTGCAAAGTCAGATATACAGAGAGGAGGAGAGACAGAGAGGAAGATCTTCTGTCCGATGATTCACTCGCCAAGTGACCACAACGGCCATTGCTATTCCGATCTAGAGCCAGGAGCCAGGAACTTCCTCCAGGTCTCCCACATAGGTAGAGGATCCCAAAGCATTGGGCCGGCCACGACTGTTTTTGCAGGCCACAAGCAGGGAGCTGGATGGGAAGTGGAGCTGCCGGGATTAGAACTAGTGCCCATATGGGATCCTGGCACGTTCAAGGTGAGGACTTTACCGCTAAGCCACGCCGCCGGGCCCTAAATAAACAAATATTAAGCAAATAAAGTGGTGGGACGACTGTAACTTAACCCACAAAACTGGGATGGATGTGAGGTATGACAGATATTTTGTTCTGAATCTATCAAAAATATGTTTCTAATTGCAGGTTACTATTTGGATAAGCTTTTGATTCAGCTGGATAGTTGAATATTTAAAAGCAGCACTGGTTACCATTCATAATTATTTCAAAGAAGCTACTTTATGAGCTTTTCAAATGCTCTTCAGTTAAAACTTTGCTTAATTCCAGTTCATTCTTAAAGCTTAAGACCTTTGATAATACTAGGGGTTTTGTATTTATATACTCATAATGTGTGTTACTGGTGTTAATCATGGAATTTCTGTACCTTTATAACTCTATGGTTTTGCTCTTTTTGCATAATATTAAAATTTTTAAATATGCAATTTTGTGTCTTCATAGAGCTATAATCCAGCTAATGCAGTGTGATTTGATTATCATTTGCTATTTAATTTAGTGGTACAATCAAGTTTTAACATGTAAGCTTTTAAATATTTTGAATATTTTTATATTGGAGCCATTCACCGTATTTTTGATAGTGACATTGTTAGCATTTTGATGAACTCTTTTGGTTTGCCTTCACTCATAAGCTCCCTTTATTTCATTAAGACTCCAGGGGAATTCAGATGGTCTATTGATCAACTAGCTGTAATAAATCCTGTAGAAATAGACCCGGAAGATATTCATCGTCAAGCATCATACTTAAGTCATTCGCGGTGAGTTTTCTTTATTTTTGAAATGAGTTTTCCTTTCTTGTATCTAAGTACAATAACATGCTGATTAGAAAGAGAGGAAGGGGTGCGGTGGCCTAGCGGCCAAAGTCCTCGCCTTGCAGGCACCATTGCTAATCCTGGCAGCCCCGCTTCCCACCCAGCTCCCTGCTTGTGACCCCCGTGGGAGACCTGGAGGAAGTTCCTGGCTAAAAAAAGAGAGAGAGAGGAAGTTCTATAAGTCATGTATTTTTACAGTGAAAGGGTATTAGCAAGAACAAATTTTTGGTATGGATATTTGTAGTCTGAGTGAGTTCAGAGAACTATATCCAGAAGGATTCTTTCACTCTTGCTGTGTTATTGTGGAACAGCTCTGCCTTCCCAGCACTTGGTGGGAAGAAGGGCATTTTGAAGTTTGTACCTTTCTGTACATGGTTGTGGCTGTTTTGCTTTGTTTTGTTGGTGTGTTAAGATAAAGCAAAAAGCTTCTTACTTCCTAAAACCTCAAGGTAAGACACACTGAAAGGGTATTTATTAGCATCAGAAAGGTTTTCTAGATGTCATCCCACCTTAACAATTCTCTTGGGTGATCTGAATTAAGTTGGCTTGAATTCTGTGAATCCAAGCAGTCTTAATCCTTTGCTCATGTGTGATGTAGGTTTTAAGGCTTTAGTTTGCTTAATAATACTTAATGTAGTGCAAACATGGCACTTCTTTAGGGGAAACACACCTGTACTTTATATTTTGAGGGATTCTTTTGTCTTATAGTCAGATTGTTTAATTTATGGGGGAAAAAAAGTCGCAACTGATATGAAAACAACAGATGACCCTTTGGCCTTCAACTTCAAACTTCCATCGGACGGGGTGCATGCACGTTGATTCACTCTTAACTTGTCTGCCGCGTCCTCTCCGTGGTCATTTGGTGACCATTCACCTGCCAGTTAATACCTGTCAAAG